AGAGAGAGAGAGTGAAGAGTGAGAGAGTGAAGAGTGAGAGAGTGAGAAGTGAGTGAGTGAGAGTGAGAGTGAGAGTGAGATGAGAGTGAGAGTGAGAGTGAGAGTGAGAGTGAGATGAGAGTGAGAAGTGAGAGTGAGAGAGAGAGAGAGAGAGAGAGAGAGAGAGAGAGAGAGAGAGAGAGAGAGAGAGAGAGAGAGAGAGAGAGAGAGAGGAAGAGAGAGAGAGAGAGAGTGAAAGAGTGAGAGAGTGAAAGAGTGAGAGAGTGAAAGAGTGAGAGAGTGAAAGAGTGAAAGAGTGAAAGAGTGAAAGAGTGAGAGAGTGAGAGAGTGAAAGAGTGAAAGAGTGAAAGAGTGAGTGAGAGAGAGAGAGAGAGAGAGAGAGAGAGAGAGAGAGAGAAAGGTGAATGTAAGAATAATATTCATTCTTTTTCATTTGGTATTTTCATTCATGATTTTTTTATTGGATAAAGAAAACACTTTCTAAAATACTTTACAAAAATTTAATTATTGGTAAAAAGGCAACAGTGTCATAAGACATGCACATAAAATGTCAAACAATGCATTCTGATAAAAAAAAAAAAATCCTAAGTAAGTTTTTTTTCAGTACATCAGTACTTAATCATTCTAAAGAAAAAATATAAATGTTAGAAAGATAAAAAATCTTTAGATACTGATGACACAAATTCTGCTTGATGGTAATAACAACAATAAAAAGTAATTATAATAATAAAAATAATACTGCTAATAAGAAGAACAATAACAAGAACACTAGTAAACACATCAACAGCTGGATTACCTCTTTATTAAACTACTGACATTCAACTTTTGCTTTTTCTCCACTATCTAGCCGCTTCTGTGCTGCCAATTACTATCATCAAAATATATTCAATGGAAATCTACGAGTATTACGATGACTACAGAATCATCTGTCAATCTTTAAAAATCCTTAAGATCCATGGAGGGAATAGTTCGATTATTTGCATAAAATGATGCTTTTCCTACATGCATTCAAATAATCGGAGTCATTACCTGATTATCCACATTTACAATTGCTACAAACTTTTTTTCTTCTTTATGGGAGTTTTGGAGCATAGTTATTTTCCCTTTCTTTCTTACATCAGTACACATTATTTTATAAACAAATTAATTAAGCTAAGGAACACAAATTGACACAAATAAAGAGGATCTACAGTTCACCATTTAACCCTATAGGAAGTATGTTTCTGAATGCTTATAAAATATTACATACAATTTGAACTATGGATACTCACGAGCAAAATACCCATGTATGGGAACACAGGAAAGGGGACGAGAATGAGTACAATCGTTTTTTTTTTTTTTTTTTTTTTTTTTTTTTTTTTTCAATAATTTTTGCAGTCTAACAACTTTTTTTTCAACATTACAAAGTGACATTCCTTACATTAAGGAACATTTCAAAATATACTTGTCTTGCAGTAAAAAATATTTCTGGTTAAGACAAACAGATCTATCATATGAACTATATTCCAAAAGCACCAATCTGACTATATATTCAGGTGAAATGCCATGTTTGCAATTCACTTACAGAACTTCAATGATAAAAGATATGTGAACATGAACAATACACACAAACACATGTACACAAACTAACACAGAGAACAACATTAATACAAAAATGAAATAAAATCTTTTAAATGATAATCATGATTGTGATAATAATAACTGTAATGACAATAATAATTGTAAAAGTGATAGTAATAACAATAATAAAAATATAATTAATATAAATAAGAATAATAATTATAATACTAATAACAATAACAATAATAATAAAAATTATAACAATAATAATAACAAGAATGGTAATAACAATAATAACAATATTAATATTGCTAATGATGATAACGATAATAATAATAATAATAATAATAATAACAATAATAATAATAATAATAATAATAATAATAATGATAATAAATAATAATGATAACAACAATAATCTATCATAAAAATCAGGAAAATCCTCCATTACCAAAAAGAAAAGTCACACGACTTTGAAAATATAAAACAACAAATTGTAATCTGACATATAACAAAAGTTAACATAATCTCAACATCAAAATCTGGTGGAAACAACTACTGCACAAAACTTGGCATTCAAAATTAAATCTGAACTTGCAACTGTCATAGGGTTGATGATTATGAAGTCTCTCTCTCTTTGTGCATGTGTGTGTGTGTGTGTGTGTGTGGTGGGGGTGCTTGTAATGAGTGAGAAAGTGAGAGTGAATGAGTGAGAAAGTGAGAGGGAATAAGAGAGTGAGAGTGAGTAAGATCTCATTGAAAGTGAGTGAAATTGAGTGAGCTATGAGTGAGTGAGGGCATATGTTCACAATAAGTAATGTCTGTATCACTGTCTTAAGACCCATATCAAACATTGTCATCACATGTAATTTCAGACTGCAGCTTTGTCTCTCCCATGCACTATTATGAATATTATGAATACAATGTGGTTTCTCAATCCATATAAACATATGGAAAGTAATACACTCACATGCATCTACACAAGATCTATAAATATTTCACATACTCATACTTTACAAACAGATCATCCCTCCTGTATCTTCCAGTGAAAAATACATACCTCTATGTCATAGAATTCTAAGTAAAATATAATTCATCTGTAAATCATCAAAATATATGTACAATGTCTGATGTTAGCTCATCAGACAAATGCTATTATGCATTCTTTCCTATTTAATTATATCAAATATTGATACAACGGACTTACACTCACATCAGCAAGTTTTTCACTTTTATAAGCTAATCATACCATTCCTTGATATCTAATCTACAAACAAACCTAATGACATGTATCTACCATATGTATATTTCATGTCTCTCTTTTCCTTTATACTATTTGCATATTGATATGCTTGTCATTAACTGAAATTCTTTTCCTATATTACAAGAAGATCTACAAAATTATAGTAGAAATATGACGCAGTCTTAGTAAAGACAATAAGAGTATGACTAGTCATTACATTTCTTACACATTTTACAAAACTTTTTACAAAAAATTCTTTTAAAGGTAAATGTTTATGCTTACACAGTATTTGAACACATCCTCATGTAAAAACTGCAGTACCAACTAATACTAAAATTTTTACCAATCAGCTGCAGCATAAATACTCAAAGCAAATGTCATCTTTGGCATAAAGTCTCTCTTTCGAAGGAACAAAACAGTAATTAGGAATCTAAATACAAATAGGGAGAAAAAAATAGAAAATAAGGAGAAAAAGAAAGATAAAATGCATAAGATAATAACTAGATACAATTTAATACTGGACATTTGTCACTTTGATAAAATTATCATAACTAATCTAATTACGTGAATGGTTAATGGTTAATGATTATGAAGCAAAATACATGTGACTGACATCAAAGGTCATACAGCACTACAGCAAGGTGTACTGGAAAAAAGGGTTAAAGAGGGGGATTGGTTGATGATTAAATGTGCTACACGTCAGATGTTGTAGAGCAGTTGAGGAAGGGAGGGATAAATAAAGGTGATTTGATCAAAGTTGTCAAAGGAAGATGTGGGATTTTGCAAGGATATCCGTACGGTAAAGTAGAGATTAGCAAAGGAGAAAGAGGATTTAAGGAAAAGTGTCACGAAGGAGAAAATCCAAGGAAGGGGATGGTTGTGGTAAAGGGTCACATGCAGAGGGAAGCAGAAAGGATGATGGGGAAGGAAGGGGGATAATGCACGTAAAGTAAGAAGGAATGGGATGTGTTGGGAAGGAGTGGGAGGAAGGAGTGTAGGGGGAACATGAGTACGAGGAGGATGAATGTCGGCAGTTACTTTGACTGTAGAAGGTATCGGAGCAGAAAAATTAGAGGATGGATGAGGTGTAATCATGTTATCTTAGGTTATAAGATTCTGACATGACAGTGGGGTAAGTTGATATGGTCAGACAGGGAGGCTTTCTCCATCAATGTAAACATAAAGGGGCGGTCATGGCTACGGATCTTGGTAATATTGGTGGGGCTTACAAAGCCCTCTAGGGGGAATGGCATAGCAGTGTACTGATACTGCATCATAGTCCATGAGACAGGTGAGTGTCCACAATCTGACCAATCCTTGTCGTAGACAGGGTAGTTTGTTGAGGAGATGGAGACAGTTCCATTGCAAATATTGAGGGAGGGATAAGGTTGGGTAGGAATGCGTCTGCCAGTGAAGTCAATTAGGGTTTATAATGCTATAGCCTGGGATTCAGATATAACTGTGACAAAACGGGAGATGATCGGGGCAACTGCAGAATGAAACTTTACCTACTTGTTCTTGAAGGCATTGCTGGAAGAGGATAGTGTTG